AAAATGATTAGTTTAATAGGGAGACATTTGTTCATTCTCTTTTTACAACTACATTTTTCCACAGCAGCGCAACATCGAGATTGCTCAAAAAATGGGCACTTATACGACTCAGTCGAAACTAATGTTCCCGATAATATAACATGGTGTAAAAAACCGGCCAAGTGCGAGTCGGACTCGCGCACCGAGGGTTCCGAACAAATCCGTAGGTATAAGAGTTTAAAATTATTAAAAATATTTTTATTATATGATGTAACTAAAAATTTATGCTTTTCGCAATTTTTCCTTTATCTGTGCTATAATACGTTGAGTCGTACCAAATTTTAACATTCTGAGTTCACGGGAAGTACCCTGTAGGTTTTGATTCCCTTGTGAATGTCGAAAATTTGCAGCATAAACGGCTGTATCTTTTGATTGCTTTGGCTTAGAAGTTTGATTTTTTCGCAGCTCCAAGGGACAGTAGAGGGAGAGTATTTGATATAAATTTCAGCTTGATAGCTCCACGCATTCCTGAAAAAAAGGGTCTTGACAGACAGACAGACAGACGGACAACAAAGTGATCCTATAAGGGTTCCGTTTTGCCCTTTTGAGGTACGGGACCCTAAAAATCGAATAAATTGATGAGTTAAAAACCTTCAATTTTAACAACGAAAATGCTTCATTTATCCCACCCAATGGTAAGTGATGAAGTAGCCTAAGACGGTAAAGTAAAGCTCAATTGACTTAGCTTTACAAAAAGGCTATTCACTCCTGCCTTGGAGACACTCTCATCGTAATGGGATGGTAAGTCAGATTATGCAAAATTATTCCGATGTACATATTACAAACCTCCCACTGCTAGGCACGGGCCTCCTCTCATTTCCGAGAGGATTTTAGAGCAAGGAAATGTCCGCCGCGCTGCCCCAAAGTCTATTGACGAACTTCACATGTCTTCAAAATATTTTTTTCTTATTTCTCAGACATGCAGGTTTTTTCACGATGTTTTTCTTCACCGCCGAGCACGTGGTAAATCAGCACTAAAATTGCAATTAACAATTTCATTGGTGCCGGCGGCGATCGAACCTGGGTTGCTCCGCGTACTGTGAAATTTACAGTTAGCGCTTAGCACCTGGCATACCACGACTCGTTAAGATTAAAAAAGGTGTCATTCGACTCGCATTTTTGGAATGGCCATATCCAACAGTGGATTCTTAATACTGATTAATTATTACAAACAACGAAGCAGTTTGTTTCGAATGCGTGGTTTATGGACAACGAAGGGATGGAGTGGCCGTGTGGATAAAAAGCGTTGCCGTACGGATATTGAAGAATTAATTTACATCAGCCCATAAAATTCCACTACTGAAAATATTATGCCTCTCCCATTATAGGGAGGGTTTGCCTGGCGACTTGACGATACACTACCAGACGTTTCACACTTTTGAAGATACTTCTCTTTGTCAGTCTAATTATTTTACGTTTAGCTTAAACAAAATATTAATATTAATACCGCTAACCATCGGAAGCTATAAAATCTGTCTAGCACTCGCCTCTTACGACACTCATGGAATGAACTGAGGTGATGAATTGACACCACCGCACAGTATAATGTAACTAAGATCTTCTTTCAGTTCAGTAGGGTTTCTTTTCTACCTAAAGCCTCGGTCATAGCGAATACTGGCTGCGCTTAGCCACTCGCAGCGAGAATTCGATGTGTGACAGGCTGTTCGCTGCGATTAGATTCAGTCGCCGCGAGTTGAATTCGCTGCGAATTGAATTGAACATGTTCAATTTTACTCACAGCGAATGAGCACTCGCAGCGAGAATTCGCTGTGTGTGACAGGCTGTTCGCTGCGATTAGATTCATTCGCCGCGAGTTGAATTCGCTGCGAATTGAATTGAACATGTTCAATTTTACTCACAGCGAATGAGCACTCGCTGCGAGAATTCGCTGTGTGTGACAGGCTGTACTCGCTGCGAGTAGCCATTCCGCTCCAGACTACATGGCTGTGCATAGGTCGTTTCGTTTCTGCATGATACATGTGTATAGGTCAATCAAATGAGTTAACCGATAAACGATTCTCTAAAATGGGGAAATTACGATATAATTCGTTTCTTGGATGTGTATAGAAAAAATGAGGAGCTGTTTAACACAAATAACAGTAATTTAAAAAAACGCAAAGTAAGACGCCTTCATTGTTTAACGAATTAAATGAGTTGGGATTTGAAATAGCAACCCAAGAGCAATTGAAAAGAAAATTTAAGAATATAGAAGATACATATTATAGATAATTCTCATGTAGTACTCGCTGTGTGTGACAGTGTGTGTGACCGAAGCTTAAGGGTGCATCAGTGGTTAGATACAATCCTCTGACTTACCTTTAGATTAACTACCCAAAGTTAGTACTTTCACATGAACACCATTTGAAAAATCTACCTACTATTTCACTTAATTAGGTTTGCAAAGTTTCTATGCTAGGAAACTCATACTTTTCGAGAAAATTAAAAATATGATTTTCTTCAATTATCTTACTCCTTAGACATAATATGCATACACATTTGTCATGTTGCGTTTTGTTTAAAAAAGTTGTGTTGGGGTATTATAAAATTTAAGTAAAATTCTTTTTGTACTTTGCAATTAAAATAAAAAAAATCTATAATTGCATTAGTTACAAAATATTTATGTTAAAGTTAAAACTATTTCCAGAACAAAACTAATTTTGACCTACGAAAAATCGAAAGTATTTTGACTAAGGAAATTTTGGCAAAAGTAGTTTTAACTGAAAAAAATTGGTAAAAAGAAGTTAAGTGATAGAAAGAGGTTTTATCTGAAATGATTAGTAAAAAGTAATTATGATGAATAATTATGATGATGACAAGTAGTTAAAATAGCTTTTTACCAGGAGCATTTAACTAAAAATAGAGGTGTTGCATTTTATATAAAACATTTATTATCAATCCATTAAAATAAAGTAGTTTTTTCTTGGTTTAACTAATTTTTCACAAGCTAATATGGGTCGTAGACATATATGTACTTGATCCTTTTGGGAAAAGTAATATCAGCAATGGTAGGCCAGTAAAGGTGTGGGTAAGGTGGGCTCCAAAGCTGTGAATATCCCTCCTTATCCTCCATCCTATCTCTGTTTCGTCCTTCAGGCTTAAGAAAAACTTATTTGTCCTAAAATCAGGTTGGGCTAGTAACAAAATGCTTTTAACTGCAGATTTGCTCAAAACTAGTTTTGACGGGAATTTCAATAAAAATATGGAGGAAAATGTGAGGGAGAGTTAAAGTAGGCAGTGCACCTTCCCTTGTTCTCTTCAATTTAAAAAAAAAACATGTACTTAAATGCTTCAGATAGCCACTCAATTATGAAATTTTCAAAAATTTATAAATAAAATAATGTTTCCTGGAGTGTGGCAGGGGCTCTCCAACCTACCCCTATCCTTGTATGCAACCCCTCTCCCATTTCAATATTAAGGAGTAGTTAATCTTATGTTCTTCCTATTATCTTAACTATAAATGCATTTGGCAGCACTTACAAATATATGACATTGCATCCTGTTACAGGTCTGTGGATTATTAGATAATGCTGAGAAGTCAAAGTTTAAATATCTTCATCTTCTTTACAGGTGATAAAGTGATATAAAGGTAACAAACAGAATGTCATCTAAATAATTAGAATAAAATCTTCATTATAGATTATATTTATATTTTTTTACCCTTAAAGATGGGATATTTTTCTTTGAATCTATATGGAACCTCCCCTAAAGTACAAACTATCAAATAAAAATACAAAATTAAATTGGTTCAGCCTCTATAAAATTGAGGAACAACCATTAAAAATCATACATCATTGAAAAAAATATTTACATTCTCAGTTTGCTAGGGCAAGCCTAGTGGCCAAAGACCAAAGAGAGCCATCTATTACATAGACTTTTCACATAACTGAACTAAGGAGTGTTACAATCTTAACTTCAAAGTAGAAAACCAGTGGTAACCATAAAAAATTTATACAACCGACTTCAATGTAAATAAAATTAGAACATTGTCAATGTAGTTAAAGTCAATTAAATATAAATTATAATATAAAAATTACATGTCACATGTTTGTCCGTGATGAACTACTGAACTAATTTCAATGAAATTTTGCACAATGTGTTGCAGTTTGGTTGAACTTGAGAGATAGGATAGTTTTTACTCCAATAAGTGTCCCTCAATATTTTTTTATTGCAAATTTAAGTGTTTTTAAGTAAATTTTTTATAGGATAAAGGGTCGTCGAAAATTGCAGGTCATCTATCAGGCCAGCTAGTAGAACATATATTCTAAATGGGTAATGTGATTATATAATAAAATATGATTATATTCCTATCAGGAGATATTTTTTCCTGAATATAACTGAGATGGAATGCCTTGTTTCCAGTAAAAAGGGCCTCCAAGTCTCTACGCTCACCATACGGTAGACAGTGGCATTAAACGCATCATTTGTGCAACATATTTTTATTGCATACATTATCAGCAAAAACTAAATAAAATTGAAAGTATTAAATAATGATTATTATATACATATAATGTATTAAATATATATTATATTGAATTTAAACATTATATTACCTGTATAAACAATGAAATATTAAATATTATAAAAGTTGGAGGTCACACTATAGGTCGGATTACTGGAGCAATACAATGTTCACTGTGTGTCTCTAAGTAAAAGAAACTTGCAATAAACGGAACATTACAATAATATTACTAATTACGTATTCATAAACAGCAATTACTATAATCTAATAGGTAAATTAAATAAGGCGGTAATTGTGTTAATTATGTACTTTAAATTATTATTTGGTTATTAAAATAACGAGAAATATCCCAAAAATGTAATGGTCACATGGTATGATGACAGTCACATGAGCGCAATGCAATCTGTAAATCTGTGCAAGTTAAATAAATATATTTTTTCACCCCAGATCTATTGCTCAACGTTACATAACTGAGGGCATGATCATTGAATTGAAAACTTACCTTTGTTAACATTTTCGCTGCCACTTTTTTCATTCGCATTGCTAATAGTTTGACATTTTTTCACTTTCTGAGATGTATGTTTCGATTCATTATCATCATTCACTTCACTACCAGGAGCCATAACAACACGAAAAATTAATCCAGCATTAACCAAACTGACTGCGGCAAGCACGGCACCACTCACACTCACTCACACTCAGCTGAAAGTCTCGTACTATGTACATGTATATTATAATTATTATGGTTACATATCTATAATCTATGGCTGAAAGAACACATGCGGTACACTTAGCAAAGAGTTTACAATTACTATTCTTAACAAATAGAATTCAGTTTTCTGTAACATGCGACATCAATATATTCATCCTATAAGGCCCGCCTCAGACATATATGTGTGGCCGACCCGTTCGGAATCCCATTTTGCCAGCAAAATTTCGAACGGAAAACTACCGTACGTGTGTGACGGGACCTTGATTTTATATGGAGTTGTTGCATTCGGAATTCCGAATCGGAATATCGAAATGGAATCCCGAAATAGAATTCCGTATGAATGTGGCGGGCCTAAGCAGAAAAATTTAAATCCTCATATGTTAACACATAGAAATGATGACATCAACGACTTTTTATGTCACAAGGACGGCGCCACTAGAAAGTGAGGTAAAATATTTGACAGATTTCATAGCGGGGAAGTTAATTTGGTCGGAAAATGTAAGTTATTGTTTCTTTAAAAACCTAACTTCTCAATTAAATGACATTGTGTAACAAAAAACTTTAACTCAGTGTCAACCTGCAACATCTGGCAAAATTATTAGCCCTCATTGCAAATAGAGTACTCTACCTATTGTCAACAAGATTTTATTTTCCAGCCACTATCGACCAATTTCTACAATAATAATTCTTCGATATCGATAAATATCGATATTTTCGGCGTCGATATTTCGATCTTTATCGGCTTTCCGATATATCGTTGCATCCCTAAAAAGATACCTCCACAGAGTAATATGATCTAATGATACCTTTATGTATTTGTAGTTGTCATCGATCACTAATAAAAAACTAGATGCACAATTCCATACAAAAGTTCTCTAAAAACTGTCGCCAAATGTTTTGACGTAATTCTACTTGATATAAATATACATTAATGTAAATTCAACCTTAAGTGAAATGTCTAAAGTTGTATTGACAAAGCAACATACAAAAAGCAATAAAATTTTACGACCCAGGCTCGTAGCTTGGACAATGAGAGTGGAGTCGGAACTGCACAATATTATTTATTACTGTAATTTTAATTTTATAATATTTTTAAACTTGTTTTAAATAATTGGTGTACTTAATAAAGCATATTCTATGGTGTTCTGTTCTATTCTATTATATGTGTAATGGTTATATTATTACCTGAATGTAAATATGCTTTTGGATAGGGCACCACATTGATTTAGTAATGAAAGTAATTGAAACAGTCCTAATTATTTATTAATTCTTTATCTTGTGTGAAGAATTTAAAGGTATTGCTTGATAAACAAGTTAAATTTAAATATAATAGTTACTAAATATAAAAAATAAGTAAAGAAAGTTCTTGCAAAATCTAAGAATATTACCGTCCAAATTTTGACGTAATGTTCATTATTTACAGATGTTTAAAAAAACGGATAAGACTGAATAATTATAATGATTTCTTATATTTACTAGAAGCTAGTTATTAGAAACTAGTTTTACGGATTTTATCGCGTATATTAACTTATTTTATATTCCGGACGTTTTGAGTACTATAATATTTAGAGAAACAGTAAAGAACTCTCATTAATAAAAAAACATTCATACTTTAATAATAAAAATAAAAAAAATCAATAGCGTTTCCACAAATGGAACAGAATCAACGCATATACCTCGAATAATGACGACTTATTTTATTACGACTTAATTTAAAAAATACTTTTACCATGATTTCTTGACAAAATATCAGTATTTACAATACCGCTATAACAATTAAATAATGTTAATATTAATACTTACCGAAAATATGAAATTCCATCCTTTTTTAGCGTTCTGGATGTGTGATTTTTATACTTTTTAAACGAGCACTGAGGCATGTTTACCGTCGGAGCATTCGAATGCTACTAGATTAAAAGTGCACCCATATGTTCGAGTGGGTGCACATTCGGTTATGCTATTTTTTTGTCACTGATTGTGTATCTAGTTTTTTATTAGTGATCGATGGTAATCGTCCATTATTTACATTATTGTATGTAGTTGTCTGTTCTGTGGGGAGTGCCTATTCGTCCGTGTTCCTAATTTAACCTATATAGTAAACGTAGTGATTATATTCTCTATGCTATATAGGGTAGTTACTATACTCTTTGGAAAAGGCTCAGAAGGGTTAGAACCCAGAGCCGTAAGCCAGTTATAAAAAAAACTATTTGATACAAAACGTGCAAAAGCAAATATATAAATATTGCTGAAGTCCACAGAGTACTTTTATATATACTGAAGTCTATGTAATAAACATAGTAATTTGAACCATTAAATATTGTTATCTATTAAAAATTTTGTTGTTGGTTATTTGCAGATACTTGTTTCATTTAAATAACGTTTTCTATATTCTTAGTTTCTTTTAGTTGCAAAAGTGGCGTCCGAAAATTATCCAAAGGTAATAATTTTTCAAAATGGTAGATTTAACAGAAAATTCACAATAACATTATTAGAGAAACATATACTGTTAGATGATGAAGTATTTTTTTATTTTCTTTCAGAAAATGTTGGATGGGTGGTATTGTCGCTCCATAGCAAATATGCAAGCTACTGAAGCCGCAAGCGTAAGCAATAATTCAGCGGCGGAAATATCTCGAGCCAGAGAGCAAAGGAAAGAATACTCTAGTGATAGCAGCAGTGATCCTGAACCAGAACCTAACTATGAAGCTCAATATCTAACACTTAAAAAGAAACTTAAATACCTCATCTATGTGAGTTTACATATATACTTGTTATTACCATTGTAACAATTGATAAAAAAGTAACTGCTCGTATTTTGCATACTACTTCTTTATTATTAGCGTATTTAAATGTATAAGTTGTACTTTCGTTTTTCTACATAAATGGTTGTGGCCCTATTTGTTATTAAGAAAAACATAAATCTCTTGTATTCATTTTAGGAAAATGAATGTTTTCAAGATGCGTTAAGAAGCAGTCAAAAGAGACTTCTAAAAGTTTGTAGAGATAGAAGTTACCTCCTTGATAGATTATTACAATATGAGAAATATGACAGTACTACATCAGATAGTGAAGATACAGAATCTTCAGACGATATGTCATATAACCATGTAGATGCTGCAAAAAGGTAATAATATAATATTGTATTTATGTAGTTTTAATCATCTTTATTACAGATCAGATCCACTACTGTACATAGGCCTCTAAGCTTGATTGGTGGTTGGCAACTGCACTTTTTTATGAATTATTAGAATATATGCTGCTTCACAGTTATATGAGTGTGAGTTAGTGTGTCTGCCTATACGCTTGCTTACATGTGTGTGTGTGTGTGTGTGTGAGAGAGAGAGAGAGAGTTATTATCAAACTGCTGGTTGTCCAATGCTTGCCAAGCAAAGCAACTATGGCAGATATATCCACTATACGGCAATTAAAGGGGTAGGCTATGTTCAGCAGTGAGTGGACTTTAGATGGACTGTAATAGTAATGATGGTCCTTTCTCAGTACTTTACCATTTAGTCTTTTTTTCAGTAAGCATTAGTCTATTTACAGTTTTATTATTAAATTTCAGAAAAAAACTGGAAGCAAGTGCAGTTCAGCAGCATATATCTACACCATCTTCTCTAAATAAAAATGTAAATGCAATTAAAAGGAAAAGGGCAACCATACAAAAAAAGACACCAAATGCTAGTCATTCAGTAAGGGATAAATAAGTTATGAAATATTTTTATTATTATTGTATTTAATATAATAATACTTTATATACTATATAACATTTATGTAAATTAATTGTATGAGCATTGTAAAATGAAATAAATTAATTTGTAACATAATTTCTTGCAACCATAATCTTGTAAAATTCAAGAAAAAATTACAATTTCCTAAATTTATTCAAGTGTTCATGTGCCAATTTAGGCAATGTTACACAGGCATAATTTATTTTGGAATTCAACCTTACTAAATTAAACATATATAAATTCACACATTTATAAACTCAATTAACTATAATTTTAATGGTCTTAACTTAGAAAGTTTAAACTACTTTTACAAAACATTTAGCTATATGTACTTAAAAATGTCTTCATGTTTTAAAAAAAGTGATTAAAGAGGTCTGGATTGTAGGGTTGAAACCAGTTGCTTTCATTATGTGTTCTAAAGAAGTTATTAACCTATTTATTGTATATAAAGAAATAAGAACAGTTTTGTAATCTTTTATTATTATTTTTTCAATTCAGTTACATTTTTTTATACCTTTTCCCTACAGATTAATTCTGTGATACACAGAGATAATCTGGTTTGTTAAAAGTTCAATATAAACTAGAAATCTTACAGAGGAAATTTATTTTTGAAGTAACTTATAGTCTAATGTTCTATGAGATTCTATCTTTAAAAGAAAAGGAAGATGTTACACCATTTCTAAAAACTGAAAATCACTTGTGAGCCCAAGGTTTTATACTTTTTTGTGAAAAAATATCACCAATGGTTTGTGCTTCTGATTTTAGCATCAAGCAAATCCATCAATGTTATCAAAAGCATCACCTGCTCTTGGATTTAGTCTGTCTACAAGTGACGGTCATATGACACCAGAAGAAGTAGAACGACATTTGCAGTCTCGACAATCATATTTGGAGTTGTTGCCGGAGCGTGCTCCCCCCACTGTACCAACTGAGATGTTTAGTAATGATCCTTCACTTGATAGGTATGTATTTTGTAATATACCTGGATATTGTGTGCAAAGAAGTAGTTTGCAGTACATTACTACAGCTATAGAATGTATTGCATCATACCCAGGTACATTTGGCAATGCTGAATTAATTAATGGTTTAATAAATTAACTTTTGCCAAAGTTAGGAATTGTCTGGAATGCATTCAAACTGACTGACAATTTTTTAATCTTAGCACCACCAATATAATTTACAAAAATTTTATAAACTACTTAATATGTGGAACATTAGTAAGACAAATTGTATGATGAGTTATATTATAATGTATGTATAAATGTATTTTACATTCAAATAAGTAATTACAAATAAGTTTAGAACTTAAAAGTTTCAGGTGAATAAATTTAAGTTTTTGATCCCGGAATCCAATAATTAAATAAATTTGAATAAAATCTCTTTAAATTGGGTTTTTAGATAAAATACCAAAAAGTTCACCAATTATCATCTTCCAGTTTCATCAATCCATCTCCAAAATCCCACTCAGAATTGAGTGTGTGTCTGTGCTTAGTAGTGAGATGTTGTAACTATACTTTCTTTATATGGCCATAAAAGTTGATTGCTGAGCACGCCCTATACTTCGTCCGCCGGTATGAGGACGGCCGCCACTCGAGAACCTTTCTTCCCCATCGGTTGTCGGTTCTTCGAGCTATATGGACGGTCCATTGCCACTTCAGCTTACTAATCTGTTGGGCTATGTCGGTCACTCTGGTTCTACTACGGATATCCTCATTTATAAGTTTATCACGCAGAGAAACTCCAAGCATAGCCCTCTCCATAGCTCACTGGTCGACCTTGAGCTTCCTCATCCGGCCAGCAGTGAAGAACTACATCTCAGTTCCATAGGTCATTACTGGCAACACGCACTGGTTATACAGTCTGGTTTTCAAGTTTTGAGGTATATCTGATGAGAAGATGTGCCGTAATTTCCTGAACGCTGCCCAACCGAGTTGAATCCGTTGATTGACCTCTAGGTCGAAGTTGGACTTACCTAGTCGGACTATTTGTCCCAGGTAGACATACTCTTCAATATCTTCGAGCTTAGTGCTCCCAACAACTACCGGCATAGGTGTGACATGGACATTAAACATGATCTTTGTTTTGTCCATGTTCATCTTAAGACCTATCCGTTGGAAACACTATTGAGGTCATTGAGTATAGTGCTTAGGTCCTCCAGCGATTCTGCCATAAGGACTATATCGTCGGCAAATCGAAGGTGAGTGATGTACTAGCCATTGATGTTAATACCGTATCCTTTCCAGTCCAGAAGCTTGAAAACTTCTTCCAATGCAGCGGTGAAGAGTTTCGGGGATATAACGTCACCCTGTCTTCACCTCTGTGCAATTGGATAGCTTTCGTACTCTGGTTCGTTACCACATCAAATGGCTGCAGTCTCAGTGCTGCAACAGGTCCCATCTGCAGAGATCGTGATGCTTGGTGACTTTAACGCCCACCACGCAGAATGGCTTGGTTCTCGTTTAACCGATCATTCGGGTAGATCTGTTTATGATTTTGCCTTGCCATATGGTCTGACACAACTGGTTAGCTCGCCTACGCGGATCCCAGACGTGAAAGATCATGTACCTTCCCTGTTGAACCTTCTGCTGACCTCTCATCCGGACGGATATCAGGTCTCCGTCGATGCCCCTCTTGGCTCCTCGGACCATTTTCTCATCCGGAGTACGGTGCCACTCACTCTCCCATCGCGGTTGCGTTCGGTAGGTTGCCGCCGTGTTTGGCATTATAGGTCAGCCGATTGGGGCGGGATGCGATCTTTTTTTGCATCCTAACCTTGGAGGCGGGTTTACTTCTCGGCGGATGATCCCAGCGTTGTTGTGCTACAGGGAATGGAACTATTTATTCCATCATCTGTGGTACCTATCGGAGGCAGAACCCAGCCATGGTTTGGTCGCTCTTGCAAAATTGCATTACGCCATAAGCAAGAGTGCTACCAGGCCTGAGCTCACGGAGCCGTATGCTCGTTTGCCACCTCTCCTATGAAAAAAGGTAGACAGATACTACGGACTTCCATTTGGCACGTTCTTGACACTCCTCACCCCTCTTTCACGACCATATTATATCTACGCATACATGCTAGTCGGTTAAGTGTACTCTTAATTTGCTTTTCTTTACTCCTATCTTCCAATCAAATATGTTTTTTCAAAGTTTATTTAGTTATTGGAATCCGTTAGAGCTTTTCTTACTTTGGAATTTTTACAAAAAATTAAAATGTTCCAAAGTAATCCATTTATTACGGATTTATTCAAATTGGCAAAAGTTGTTATAGATTTCAAAATTCATTTATTTTTTTATCAAAAAAAATATAGATAAAATTAAACATCTTGAAAAATTTAATAAAAAGTATTTAACGAGACAGAAATAGGATATATTAAAGTCATCAAAAATTTACTGTATAATTGTTAAATATGTATCACAGATACGTAATAATTAACTTAAATTATATCAACACGTCAGCAGCGAAAAGGGGATAAGTATTAAGATATTAGCATTCTGTTGTCTCTTGTTACTTTAAGTTTAAAGCTTCTATAAACATTTGACCCAAGTATTTCTGTTATTATTTATATGAATATTCTAGTGTATAAATAAATAAAAAGAATATTATATCCGATTCAAAAGTTAACGCATAGCCTTAGCTTGAGATTATCTTTACTTTGACGGTTCGACCTCGTAAATTTTTCCCCACGCACTCTGAGGACTGACGAAAAGATAATGGAAAAAATGGAAAGTTTCGCTGGTATATTATAGGATTATATGAGGTCCGAAGAGAGGTGAAGCGCATGGTTATGCTCGAATCCGGCGACTTGTTCTATTACAAGGAGGACGATCATATGCTTCTAGAAGGCGCCATATCGATTATCCACAAGTCTCTCATTGATGTCGTTTGAAGATTGGAAATGTTTTGAAAAGAGTTGCGTACCTTTTACTTAAAATACCAAACGATATTCGTTGAAGATCATACAGGTTTACGCACCAAGCTAGCAAGAAGAAAATGTATAAAAATATGGCTAAAGCAATACATCTCTACAAAGCTCATTATACGGTATTTATGAGAAAGTTCAACACAAAATTAAGCACAAGAAAGGACAGTGAGCTGAAGTTTGTTGCTGAAAAGCACTTAATACTTGGCCGACTTCATGGAGAAGGAAGGGCTTTTTATGATGTACTATCTAGTCTCAAAAGTTTGATGAAAAATGATATTGATTTTAATATGACAACCAGAAAGCAACTAGTCAGTGATTTCTCAGTGATCGCGAAAGTGAAAACTGGTAGCGATCACCAAATGATGAAAGTCTAATCAAGTCAACGCTCCATCCCGTCGTGCTCTAATTTAAAGTCTCTGAAACTTACAGCTCAAATTATGATTTTGCGTATTCAGTGCCTCGAAGATAGAAATACAGTGAACGATACAAATGACAAATTCGTGGAAACTGTCCATACGGTTGTTGTTAAGTTCTGCTGACCCACCGCAGAAGAATGCGAAAACTCATAATAATTTCTTATATTTACGCGAACACTACACATTTAAATTGTATTGTGTAGAAAATTAAAATTGTGGTGTGATTGTAAGTGTAGTGTATAGAACGAAGACCCATACAGATAGATATTTAAACGGTAATTCACACCACCATCCTTCACAGTTAGCTACCGTGGGTAAATCTTTGTTTCAGAGAGCATGAGGGATCTGTGACAGTAAACACCTGTCCGGCGAATTCCAACACGTCAAGCAAGTTTTGCACGATAACAAGCTTCGGATCCAGCGCCTTCGTCACAGTCAACGAGTGATGCAGGCCGCAGTCGAGCGAGTTCCTGCTGTACTGCATTATGTCAGAAGTGTCTGACAAGATTGGCTACATCTTGAAACGTGCTTCCTTTAAAACATACTTCAAGCTGCCGAAGAAGATTTATCAGTTTTTACCATCAGTCAAGTGTAATTATTATTAATGTGGTCTCTCTTATATAGGACAAATTAAACGTTAAAGAATACATAGCTGATGTAAAGAATAGACGCCCCGGGAAGTCTGCAGTCTGTGAACACGTACAGGATCGCCTCCGCCACTACATTAGATTTGATAGACCATAAACCCTCGCTAAAGAACACCGATGCCTTCCAAGGATCATTCGCGAGGCTATTGACATCAAAAAAAACATCCTGATTTCAATAGAGAAGATGGCTGGGTGCTACCATCTGCTTGGGATTCTATAATTGATACCAACCCAAATATACAATTGCAAGACTTCAAGATACTATAAGTTCATACTGCGTAGATCGGAACAAAAAATTTTTAATAATTTTAATCTGGAGGTAGCCGTGGTTAACTATGACATTGGGGCGTCAAACACCTGTCGCCCCCGTGACCATGGGTGCTGTAAAGTGATCAAAACCTCGGGAGTATAAAATAGTTAATATACGGGATAAAATGCGAAAAATCTCCGATCACACTCTTAATCTCATAGCTAATAAACGGGAAATGACGCTGCAGTCTTCTAAATAATATGTGACCGTATATAAGCAACTGAATAGACAGATCTCCAAAAATGCATGCGGCGAGACTTACGCAACTTCAATAGAGCTCGTCTGCTGGAAAGAGGCAACTCTCTAAGTTGGAGATCGACTGTGACAATGTCATTTCTAGGAAACCTGAGATTTTTAATAAGATTAAGGGGTTCTACTTCTACGTACAAATCATCGTTGAAACCACTCGCAATTATAAGTAATGATCCGATAGCCGTCAGGCTGAGCGAGATTAGAATGGCTTTTTATAAACTTAAAACTAAAAAGCCTCGAGCGATGATAGAATTACAGTGGTACTACTGAAAGCTGGTGAAAAACCGAAAGCTTAATTGTGTCCTTCATGATGGCACGACTTCGAAGCGTGAATCATAAGTGCGGTGGACTTGTTTTTCAAGAAAGACGCCAACGCTCTATTGAAGAATTTCAAATGGAGGCGGAAACAGGCCCTAATGGATCCCGCTTTATACAGCGGACGCACTTACAAAATATGGCATGAAATTTTCTATAATATTATAATGTGTCAGTCCTTAAATTATCAGTTACTTAAAGAAAGGTGGCGAGCAAAGACTCGACTGTGATGAACGTTGCTATTCTAAAAAATGAAATAAGGAAAGCACTGCGAGATACTTTTTCTTGTTCTTCTTTTGCTGCTTTCCCAAGCTCTTGTTGGTACCGCGATTGATTTGCGACGTGACGTTGTCGTAGTAATGCAGGGTTACACCACTCACCCTCCTTAACAAAAGTTATACATTTATTTTCTTATTTACTCATGTATGCATTCATAATTTATGCTTTGTTAGTTACATATTGTGGATTTTTAATATTACATAATATATTTTTTTCTTGTTACAGTGAGTCAAATGACGTTTTGGAAAATTCCCCCAACGTAGAAGAATGGTTTGATTAACATTACGCCTTTTTAGTGTACAAAAATAAGATGAAAACATGTTTAAAAAAGACTTATAACAGAATACAACTTTTAAATTTGTACCGAATAATTTTACACAAAATAAAATGTACGTGACATAATTTCAATTATTTCATTGATCAAATGAGGTTGTATCCTAATTTACATATAAAAGGCAGTTAATAAGTTCTGTTATGCGCATATTACAATTTTTTATCTTAGTGGATGGACACAATATTTGACCACGGAAGATTCTGGATGTAATATTAACTGGAATCGATATTTGTGAAAAAAAAAATACAACTTTCATTATCATATTATGTTATATATACTCAATTTAAAATTACTTCAATTAAAATTATTGTATAATAGTCATATATATACACTAGCTGACCAAGCCGACGTTGTTCTGCCCTATTCGACGACCCTTCAAATAAAAAATCCTTCAATTCGTAATAAAAAAATATTAAGTGCCACTTATCAGGATAAAAACTATCCTAGCTCTCAAGTTGGACCAAACTGCACAGTGTGCAAAATTTCATTGAAATCAGTTCAGTAGTTAAGGAGTTCATCGCGGACAAGCAATGTGATACGTAATTTTTATATATAAAGATGTATGTATATATAATATAAATTATAGCTTTACCCGCACTCTGTGTTTTTCCATTTAAATTCCACAACGTAAACTGATTGTGGGAAGCACCGTTACTAGTGCGAAAGCGTCGGTTCTTTCACCAAGCCTTACTTAAAGCTATTGCAAAATCCTCCACCTGTTTGTTTAAAATATTACTAATTATATATTCTTAAAAAACATACTCCAAACTGTAATCAAGATCTTTTGTGGATACACAATGGAATGCCATCATGCCACTATTTGTCATACGCCTTTCGAAGAATGTTACAGCAGCTGGCGTGCTTCTTTTGGAAGATTTGCTTACTCGCTACGATGGGTATGTTATAGAGGGTTGTTAGTCGGTTACCTCGCGCACTGGAGGGGAAGGTTGACGTTTATTGGGTTAACAAATCGCATCAACTCTTATCTACATGTTGAAGGCGAGATTTAGCGATCACAGCGCAGAGCAGCGTATATTACTGGAAAAAATATTGGTTTTTAAATTAGGACATAATAAGTGTTAAATCAGACTTTTGGAGATAATACATAGATATTATAGTTTCAAGCTATATGGGTGGCCCGGCGCGCCGGCTCATTGCAACTGAAACCTATTAAGAATTACTTGTAAATCTATATTGAATAATGTTATTCTAAACTGCAACCTATTGATCTAGTAACGGGAATTACTGATCTGCATAAAGTATTGGGAATTTTTTTCTTTATTTACATAATATTATGTATCACCTTTTACCTCCGCTTATATTTAAGTTTGCCATCAATTTTAGTCTCTAACACTAGATCCTATTTTACCTTCGATCTTATCGCATATAAAAAAAATCACGAGGTAGATACGCGTTTAGCCGCCTACCAGAACTGTTAATGTACATTTTGTATTAATGAATTGCCATAAATATCAAAGACTGGTTTAATAATATCGGTTAAATATTTATTTATGATAATAATCAATTAGGTACAATACAAGCGCAAGAATAAACATTTTACATCTTTTGAAATGACACTTAAATTTCACATGCAACATTATATACATGATGACCACACAATATCTACGTGGAATTTTTATGTTATGAAAGCGTTTATATACTTGCTCCATTATAATTTCATAATATACACATACAATTGTACCACTTTTATAAATATGATATAACATTAAACTTGTTTGAAGCATTTTTATATAATTTATTCTATTTTTTTTATAAACATACAATGCACGAAAAGCTTCAGCTTTCTACCAGTAGGTACATTAACATCAAATGTTTTACGCTCAATTTTATAAACTATCTCTAACTTTTCATCTGTTTTTAACAAATTATTTAAATGAGATGAGATTCCCAACATAAAACAATAGAATTTCTTAAGAATAGTTTTTGATGATTCTAATATTTCTCATTCCTACATAAATGAAGGGAGATAGAAAAGTTACAAGGTTTTAAATAGATTTTCAAGGAATGAAAATTTATTATTTCTATATTTTAGTTATTTCCTTGGAAGTTGAAAAATTTGATGTCACCCCTAAATTGGTTATTCTAATGCTGTAATCTTAATATGACACTATATTCTATAACATTTCGTAGAAGTATCTCTCGAAACTACGAGTCCTCAACATGTGCAGAAGAGAAAACATATATTATTACATAGAAACACTAGACACACGAAATATTGTATATAACATTTTATATACAATACTTAAGAACATTATATTAAGATTATATCACTCTATGTGATATATTTAATCAATTAAAGGAACTTAAAAGAATATTCAATAGAAAATAAATTTACATGCAAAATAACATTACATAATGTCTTAATCTTGCAGTAAACAAAACTAATAAAATAAATGTTTTACATATTGATGATGCTTCAGATAAGTGGCTATATAATATTAGTTGAAATAAATTATTATAGTTAAATAAAAACTCCTGTTAACATTTTAGTACAACTGTCTTATGTCAGCCAGAGTAACTTTCTAAAACATAAAAAATAACATTTTAAACACTGTTAACTGCATTTTAACTTTGGTATGTTACAAATTACAAATCAATACAAATATGTAAAGTTTATAATATATTTAGACTCAATGTAGTATGTTGAACTTATATACAAATAATATAACAATTTGGTATATTTATACCATAAAATGCAGTATCAGAAAAACTTCATATTTCATCATCATCATAAAAGCCCATCACTAGTCCACTGCTAAACATAGGTCGCCCTCAAGGAATGCCACAAAACATGGTCCTTATTTATATTTAATCAAATGGAACACAAAAAATAGCAGAGTATCATAGTACTTTTCTTAATGTAAAATATAATCTTAATAATTATTGATTCTTTTATTATGTGCTATTTGTATATAATCTCAAATTAAATAAGTAAACAAAATATCTATAACTATGCTAATAAAAATATGAAACTATACACACAAGAGATTTCATATGGAATCAGCACAAAATTGATAAACACATAACATTGCACTCTGTGATCTTTTGTTTCATTGCTACTTAAATAGGCTAAACAATTTATGATTATTGACATGATTTTTAAGCCTTTTTTTAAAACTGATCTGCCAGCAGATTACATATTTCTTGGGACACAGATTCTTTACTAGATCTGACAGTGAGCCTGAACATTTGAGCTTGTTTATTTGGTTCTAATCTCATAAGGCATCCTACCTGCTGTATTCGAGTGTGCACAATTCCAGCACAAACAAAGTTATCAGGATTAGGATCAATACCATCTAAAAGTTGCATACCAAAACCAGCAAGTTTAGTGCGAGTTGCTGTTAAATCAATAGCACCTTGAGCTTTAAATATTTTTTGTGCCCTTTGTTGTTCCCCCCCTAAATTCTTCCATCTTGCAAAGAAAGATTCACCGTTCATTTCTGTTGGTTCGAAAAACTTGTTCAAAGTAAGAGGAAGTTTCATAGTTATTTTTTGTGGTACATTATTATATGAAAAAGATACAGACATTACTGGAGCATCAGTAAAATCTTCAATGCATTCAGCAGTTAACATCTGTTGAATTTGAGCACCTGCTTCTAATACTGGTTCCATTGGTTTCATTTGCACATTAAGTTTATTAAACTCTGTCCAGTGTAGCTCAGGGTGAACATTCTGTATAGGGAATTGTGTTTTATTACCATAAAACAAACCAATTCTGCCCAAATTTTGTCTGTATTCACTTTTGACTCCTATTTGGATCAAATCATTTTCAAAAAGAACACCATTGTTTTTGAAAAGAAATTTCTTAATGTTGTTCTGTTGAACTGTGTTGGGACTTATTTTAGGTGTGGTGTATAAGTCACCAAGAACATCAAGTAAACCATTACCAGTGTTGGCTGTTGTACCAGGGGGAGTAGACAGACCAAGCAGGTCAGCACTTGAACTATTTGTATTGTTTGTTGAATTTATTGTTGCTGCTGGTATTACAGAAGGTTGTGGGCTTTTAGAATCCCTCACTTCATCAGGGATACGGCCAGGTTTTTTCTTTTTCAAAACGGCAAGTATAGAAGATTCCCTTTCTGGGAAGGCAGGCATTTCTTCTAGAACAGTAGCCAAAACATCAGAACTAGCAACAATACTTAACTGTAAATATTCTGAAGCCCTCTGTTGTAACTCAACATCAGCTGATCTCAAATTAGAGTCTGCGCGAAAAACTTCTTGCACCCTATTTTTAATTTCTGGGAATAAATTCACAAGTTTAATGTATGTTGAAAGCAAAAGAGCACGTGTTGCTGCTGAGCATAAATGATACTTAGAATGAAGTAGTTCAAATTGTACTTGAGGTGATGATTTAGTGTCACCAGCAATCAAGTTTCCAAATTCACCAAGTATGTAACCACCAACTTTAACCATATTCTCATGACAAGTAGGTGCTTGTAATGCTTCAAATACTGTTTTAGCAGCATAAGCCTGCACTTCCTCTCGGTTTATAACAATTTGTATGACTCTATACCAAACCTCTTCTGAGACATAATCTCCTGCAATTCTGATCAAGTTTAATATAACATCAACATACCAGGTAAAATCTGTAGCATATTTTTCTGCTAAGATGGCAACTTTCAGAACCATTTCTTCCCTGATAGAATAATCTGCAGTCTCTAAGTAGGCCAACATCTCTTGAACGATTTCTTCTGCATTAGTTTTGTCACACATTGCATAAAGCAAATCCACAGCCTGCTGCCTAACAGAAACATCCTTCTCCATTTTCATAGACAAGATAACAACTTCTTGGTGTTTTTTCACTGCTTCATGTGAAAATTCAGAGGTAGCAAGATGGCACATGGACTCAAGTGCCAGATATCTCAAGTTTGTTTCTCGGTTACTAAGGAACTGACCAAGCTGATTACATGCACGGACAAGCAGATTCGCTTCACTGTCGTTATGAATGATAAGACTTATTGCTTCAAATAAAACAGCATTCTTAGCATTAGAATGTTGCACCTTTTTTGATTTTGGTGGCTCTTGTGCCTTGTTAAAAATTGTCTCTAAGCATTCTGTCAAACGACCTTTAACTCCAGGCTCTTCAGATGGTGGTGTGTAGTTTTGTAGTAAACGTAATAATTTCACTGACAACCATGGAGCTGGTACAAAGTAATATGTATAATCTTGTAAGTCTGTGTAGCTAGCTGTCACAATCCTGCTTAATCGGGCAACAGCCAAAGTGACACAACCCTTATACTCATCTGGATTTTTCTTAACAAGTGCATCAATAAGGGATGTAGCTGCTGTCACAACACCCATATGAGGATCATTCAATAAATGAATAATTCTTGATGTCCACTCGCCTCCAGGAATT